TCAAAGATGGTATCTTAATTTCAATTGGTAAAACTACCTCCATACCATAAACTAAAGAGTAAGGGGTTGCCCTAGTAAAAGTTCGAACATATGTTCTGTAAGCATGGAGAGTAGAAGGTGGCATTTCATGCCAATCCTTATAAGTTACTGTCATTTTGGCAAGGATCTTCTTGATGTTTTTGTTCACAACTTTATTCATCTTAGATTGATAAGGTTTAGAATTTAAATGTTGAATCTTATACTGCTTGCAAATTGATGCCATTAAGGAATTATTAAGATTTTTTGCATTATCAGTGATGATTTTCTCTAGCTGACCATATCTACAAATAATCTCCTTATAAATAAATCATGCCACTACTTTATTCTTCACATTTGTATATGAAGTAGCTTTTACTCACTTAGTAAAATAATCAATTGCAACAAAAATAAATTGATGACCATTTGCAGCTTTTGGATTAATGAGCCCAATGACATTAATTCCCCACATAGAAAATGGCTAAGGCCTACTATATTTTGCAATGAGAATGGAAGAGCTTTAATCTTATCTACATAGATCCGACACTTGTGACATTTCCTCACATAATCAATACAATTTATCTCTAACTTAAACCAGAAATACCCTGCTTAGAGTATCTTTCTAGCTAACATATGCCTATTAGCATAAGTTCCACATATTCCTTCATGAACTTCCATCATGATTCTCTTCGCCTCAGTAGTATCAACACAACTTAATAAAATCATATTTGTAGAGCATTTATATATGGTGTCTTCACTCAAGAAGTAACACCTGGCCATCCTTCGAATTGTCTTTTTATTAACCTCAATAGCATGAAGTGGATATTGTTTATGTAATATGTATTGTTTGATGTCATTGTACCAAGGTTGGCCATCTATTTCTTGCTTAATCTCTATGCAATAAGTAGGGTTATTGTGTACATCCATCATGAGTGGTTGAATTTGATCTTCACTTGATATTCGTACTATGGAAGCTAAGGTTGCTAATGCATCTGCAAATTGATTCTTCAATCGAGGTATGCACTCAAAAAAGATAAGTCTAAACTTCTTAGTTTGAGAATCAAGGTACTTATAATAAGGCAGTAACTTCATATATATTGTTTTCCAATCTTCATTGATTTGAAATATGATTAGGGAAGAATCTCCATATAGTTCAAGATCGTTAACATTCATATCAAGAGTTACTTATAGACCCATAATGCAAGCTTCATATTAGTGATATTATTGGTGCAAGAAAAATCAAGCTTCACTATAAACGAAAAATATTCTCCTTTAGGTGAAATGAGCATTGTCTTCACTCCACTTCCATTTTGATTTGTAGCTCCATTAAAATATATTTTCCAATTAGAAGTTTCACAATTACTTTCTTCAATTGCCATTATATCCTCATTGAGAAACTCCCAATCAACTAGTTGATAATCTTCAACTGCATTTTCTGCAAAATGGTTTGTAATGGCTTACCTTTTTATTCCTTTTTGAGTCATGTAAATAATCTTAAACTTTGATAACAACATATGCATTAAGCAATTCTTGTAAACAGAGAAAGCTTCTCAAATATATATTTGATGGGATCCATTCAAGATATTAGCCATGCAGTATTGAAAAGCATATAAAGATGAAACTTTTTTCCAAAGATGAATACCTACTTTCACAATCATTAAACTTTTTGCTAACACTGTAAATAGCCTACTCCTTTCTACTAGAATCATCACGTTGAGCAAGAACAACCCCATGGAACCTTTTAGCATAGTCACATAAAGAATCAATGGCCTTCCATCAATTGGGGGTATAAGAATTGGTGGATTCTTCAAATACCATTTAATTCTATCAAAAGCTTCTTAGCATTAATCGTCCCACACACCAGGATTATTCTTCTTTAATAATTAGAAGATTGGATTACAAATAATAGTCATTTGAGCAATAAATCTACCAATATAATTTATCCTACCTAAGAAACTACACTCCGTTTTTTGTGTTTTTGGTAGAGGCATTTCTTCAGTAGCTTTGATCTTGGTAGGGTTTATCTCAATTCCTCTTTTATTAACAATGAACCTAAGGAGCTTACCAGATGTTACCTCAGAAGTGCATTTTGTTGGATTAAGCCTTGGTTGATGTTTTCTTAATCTCTCAAACACGATTTTGAGATTCCCTAAATGATCTTCACTTTCTCAAGACTTTATTATCATGTCACCTACATAAATATCAATGATTTTATGAATAAGGTCATGCAACAAAGTAATCATTGCTCCTTGATAAGTTGCCTTTGCATTTTTCAGTTCAAATGACATTACCTTGTAACAAAAGGTGTTCACAAAGTAATGAATGTAGTTTTGATATTGTTCTTCTCCTTCATCTTGATCTGATTATAGCCAGAATAACCATCAACAAATGAGAATTTAACACTTTTGGTAGCATTGTTAACGAACAATTGAATATGTAGTAAAGGAAAGTCACCTTTTGGACTTGCTTTGTTCAAATCTTTATAATCCTATAATATCCCAAAATTTCTAGAATATTAAAGTTGAGTTGGGGACTAATTTGTGAGGAAATATTATTAATGGCCTTAATAATAGAAACTTTCAAAGTTCAGGGACTTAGAAGAAAG